CTTCACTTCCTTTGGGGGTGTCCTCGTTGCTCAGCGCCTTCAAGGCGACCTTCATGACTTTGTGGATGTTCTCTTCGTCGATGCTTGATATCTTCAGCGCCAGCTCACACCAGCTCTGTAAAGTAAAGGCCTTCGTCCCTGCTCTTTCCCACGCGTCCACAGGGTACCGTGCGATGGGTACCTTGTGCGTCATCGGGAAGGACACGGGGATCAGCTCGAAAAGCTCATCTGGGCTCATCTTCTGGGCAACTTCGAAGAACTGGCAGCGGCACTCCTTGATGGCGTCGCCTAGCTGCTGCGGTAGCCGCCTTTCTGCTACGAACGCTCCCAATTTGCTTCCCACCTTGAGCTCCACCACCATCGACGGCCCACTCTTGAACGGGAGGAACTTACACCCGCACCCGATATTTGGCCACCCCTCGCAGTCGTTGCCGAACGTGTCCTTCAGCTTGTCCACCCACTCTCTCATGAGCACATATTCTGGGTGACTCTCCTGTGCCTTGAGGAGCTGTAACCAATCCACCTTGCAGCAGAACTGCCACTTGTCACCTCTCGAGTTGGGGCTGGGGCCTCTCCACCGCAGCTCGCTCGGGAAGGCAAGCCCGCACGAGCAGGCTCCTACCCCCTTGTCGTCCCATCATGTGCCCCTTCTGCATACGTTGAACAGCTGCATGTTGTCGCTCCACTTGTCCACGAACGGAGGAGGAGGAGGAGGTGGTGGAGGAGGAGGTGGAGGAGGTGGTGGAGGAGGAGGAGGAGGAGGAGGAGGAGGAGGGGAAGCGAGAGAGAACAGGCCCTCTCAGAAAGCGGCGGACCTTCCCAGAAGCTCACCTGCCTTCTGAGAAGCCCCTTGTGTTTTCCGAGAAGGCCTAGAAAGCTTCTCGGAAGGCCGGGGCCTTGTGCGCGTTTTATTTTCAAATAAACAAATAAGAAAAGCGTCTCGACACTGGGCAGAATTGGGGTGCGTCCCCTGGGGGAGACTCCACCCGCTCGAAACAGGTGCCAAAAAACAACCAAGATCTACTCCACGGGGGGGGGGGGCGTGCGATGGCCCGCGCCGATCGGCAAAACGATGAAGGTAAAAACGATCACCTTCTGAGCCTTCTGAGAGAAGGCCGCCCCCTCTGCCTTCCCCCCGGGGCGCCACGCCAAAAGTGGACCTGGGGATGCAGCACTCGGAGAGTCTACAGTTCGCAGCCCCAGAGCTGTGTCCCCGAACGGTTCTGGGACCCATTCGCCAGAGACATCTCCGGGTCGAACGACCCGAGTCTCCCAAAGCTGCGCGGTGACCTCGAATCCCCGCGGAGCGATCGGCGGCGAGAGAAGCACCACGACAAAGCGCGGCGGCGCTGTGCTACAGCCAGTCGCCGGCCCGCCGTTCCGCAGACCGCCCGTCGTGGCGGCGCGGGAAGGCGTTTGTCATTGGACTCAGGCAAGCCTACAGGGGAGGCCAGTCCAGGTCCACAAGAGACCCTCCCGCAGAACCCCGACCCTGAGACCCCAGGAGGTCCACTGACTTCCGGTGGGGACGTCACGCAGTCCATAGCAGAGCCATCGAAGCCCAAGAAACCCAGGGCACCCTGGAGGCGAGCAGGGTGTTTCTTGGCATGGCTCTCCACTGCACCTGCACGGCAAGCCTGCCGCCGGGCGCGGTGTGGCCGCCGTGCCGTGCGGAGGAGGCGCAGGCCCTGCCACGGCGGCCAAGCCGGCGCAGCCCTCAAGATGAGAGCGGTGGCATCCCCACCGCACAGGGGCGCGGAGGCGGCACGGGAGACGGGTGCGACAGGGAGGAGTGGCTCGCAAGGACGAGAACTGGAGGAAAGGTGTTGGGGAGGAGCAGGAGGAGGAGGAGGAGGAGGAGGAGGAGGAGGAGGAGGAGGAGGAGGAGGAGGAGGAGGAGAGGGGCTGAGAAGGAGGAGCAGGAGGAAGTGGAGGAAGTAGTTGGAGGAGGAGTGGACTAGGAGGAGGGGAGGAGGAGGAGGAGGAGGAGGAGGAGGAGGAGGAGGAGGAGGAGGAGGAGGGACGGGCGCAGAAGTGGCAGGGCCGCAACGTTCCCCCACAACGCGGGCCACCGTGAGCACGGGCCGTGCCCTGCCCTGCTGGCAGGAGGCTACGAGCCTGCGAGCCGCGGCCTCTGACCCGGGGCCCGAGAAGGCAGCCGAGTCCAGAATCGAATCGGCGATGACGATGACGATGACGATGACGATGACGATGACAATGACGACGTCGTCGTCGTCGAATCCGATCGGCGATCGAAAGGAATCGGATCGGCGGAACTCGGCAGCCGAGTCGGGAGAAGTCGAATCAGCAGAATTCGGCTCCAGAAGCAACTCTTGGACAAAAGATCCAGGGTCTGAGATCCGGCGGGACGCCAATTGTGGCTTGGCTTAGGTCGGGCATGTCCCCCTACAGGTAGAGTTTGAAGGAAACATAGAAGAGATTCAAACCAGATTGAAACAAAAATCAAAAACAGTCAAAAAATCGTCCCCAGACTATATTGTTTCTATGTTTGAATCTTTTCCCTGGATGGCCATGGATACCACCGCCGCCCTCATCAGGTAAGGTACCCTCCAGGGTCTGAACATCCTGGGCATGCTCGCGAACGAACGCCCCACCGTGCACAGACTCGCTTTTCCTCCCCGGATCTCCGGCGGCATGCTCTGTTCCATCCTGGCGCCCTCCTCGATTTCGGCCTCTGGGACCTGTGATCGGGCCCCGGGGCCATCAAACACTCGGGGATGGACAAACCCCCCTCTAGTAAAACGTGGTTTAGTGAAAACGACCTGAGGCCCAAACCTGGAAAATGACGGCCACGGCGCCCTCTCGAGAACCGAAAACGGACAGTTCACTAATCGACGTGTCACAGTTGGGGGTTCTGTCCACCCCCGAAACACTGACGCGTGACGGAGAAAAAGAGGGCCCCCAGGAGAGGGGTCGGCGCAGCTGGCAAGAGCCAGCCCGGCGGAGGTCTGGGCCCTCGTCCTGGCACCCTCCCCACCCGCCCCACGCCCGCTCCCGACGAGAGCCCGAGGTCGAGCCGACGCCTCGCAGTCCGAACCAAAATCCCAGCTCCCCGTCCTCCCCGCCGCTGCCGCGCTCCCCTCCTCTCGGAGTGGAGCCCGCCACCGCCACCCCACGGCGCACGCCTGCGGAGAGGACACGGGGGAGGAGACGAGGAGGAGGGCGAGGAGGGTGAGGAGGCGCGCCCACCGAGGAGGCGAGGACGAGGACGGGGACCGAGGGGCCACGGGAAGACGGAGCACGCAGAGTGGGCGGCCGCCTCCTTGTCGGAGTCCTCTGCGTCGGACGACTCGGCCTCCTTCGCCTTCTTGGCCTCTTTGGCCTTCTTGGCCTCGCCAGCGGCCGCGGGAAGCGCTGGGCTTCGATTGGCCCAGGAACGGTCCCGATCTTCTCCGGCGCCCCCCGGGCGAACCCCGACACACCCACCGACGCGAGACGCAGCCCCGACACCCACGCAGTTGCTTATAAAATCAAGCAAGAGCACATGGTATAAGCACTGCTCGGGGAACATGTACGCTTCGAAGTCGCGACTGCTGCCTGTGCCGCACTGGCTACAGATGTCGCTTCAGCTGCAGCTTCATACGTGGATTGAGACGTAGACATGGGCTTATACGTGCATGTGCACATCATGAGTATACGCGCAAACCTACGAGATGTAAATGTTGTATATATGTTGTTCGGCTCTATGCGTATTCATCATGAGCTCTAGCTCTGTACGCAGCCTCCTGACTCTTGGACGTCAATGCCGTTGGTTCGGCTGGTGCTTCACAGTTGGCCACAGCACTCCCCTACGAGCTACTGCTGAAGATGTAGCTCATCACTCCCTCAACAACTTGTCTGTGATGGTCCATGGTCCAAGGCACGCATCGGACCCTCCGAATCCGGAATCGGTGCCTCGGGGTCTCTCGCTTGGTCTCGCGTGATGGTCTCGCGTGTGGTCTCGCGCATGGTCGCGCGCGTGTGGTCTCCCGCGAGGCCCCCCCGCACGGTCTGCCGTACGGTCGCCCAGGGTCTCCCCCATGGCCTCCCGCATGGCCTCCCGCATGGTCTGCCGCATGGCCTGCCGCGTGGTCTGCCGCGTGGTCTGCCGCATGGTCGCCAGCACGGTCGCCCACGTGGTCGCCCGCATTGTCCCTCCGTCTCTTTTTTGTCTACTGTATCTCTCTTGTTTCTCTGTAGTTATGTATCTCCTTGATGAGCGCAGCATGCACATCCCATGCCTATGGCTGTATGCCTTTAAAGGTCAAAGGCAACATGATCGCGGATGGTTTTGCCGCAAACGGGGGGAATGTGCCTGACTTGGCCTTCAAAAGGGATATCATTTGGTTTCACGGCTGCCTTCCCGAGTTGCACTATTGCTGCGTGGCTTGGAAATGTGCGCGTCCACTTCGTCTTGTCAAGACATGCTAGCTCCAAATCCCACATGGTCTCCAGCACGGTCTGTTGTCTGGAGTCACACATGGAACCCGTACTATCGATTGACCCCCACAGTGTCTCCCGTGTGGCCTCCCGCATGCTGTCCTGCACGGTATCCATCCCGCATGGTGTTCCGCATGGCTTTCCGCATGGTATCCCGCATGTTCTCCTGTATCGTATCCCGTATGGCACCCCGAATTGCACATGGCAGTCGATTGGGCAGCCCATATGGTCTCCGGTATGACCTCCCGCATTGCCTCCCGTATGGTATCCCACATGGTATTCCGCATGGTCTCTCGTCCATCAGTACTCGCTTTCGTGCAATGAAAAGTACGACTATTTCTGAACAGCAGAATGCGTGATCCCTATATCGTGACAGGCGATGTTTAGGTTGCTATGCCGCCAACGGTGGAATCATTTCCACTGGTTGACGTGTTCAGAATCAGTTCAACGCACACGCCGCGCGCGACGCAAACGAACAATTCCGGTCGCAAGGCCTCACAGGGACGCTCACACCCCTGCCGGTCGACAAGCGGATGCGAGTCTCGTGAGCCAGGCACCCTGACGGCACATGCACGCCAAGGCGGCCGGAAGGTCGAGCAGTCACTGACGGCGCTCCACCACACCACCCGTAAGGAGCAGCAGCTGGCGCGGAACCCTCCGCCTTGGGCGGCCCACGGAGTTCTCGGAAGTCAGGCAAATGCAGACGTGCTGCAGTGGAGTTCTGTCAATGCAGAAATGGCGAGCGAACAAACGAAGTGAATTTCACGTGGATCGTTCACAATCTTCATTCCTGGCCGAGGCCGAAACAATCTGCGCGAAATTCACTTCGAAATCCGGAACGAAACTCTCCAGGACAATCCGGGCCCATCCCCTTGTTTTCCGAACGAAGTCTGCTCTGCGATGTTGGGGGAGGGCGCCCCGGCTCCGCGCCAGAAGTGCTGCTGCCGACAGCAGCTGCGGATCGCCTCTCGCGGAGGGCTACGACGATACGCTGGACACCCGATGGGGCGGCGGCCCCCCCCACCCCCCCTTCCGCCTCCCCGAACCCCGTTCCCTCCTTCTCTCTCCTCCTCGCTCTCGCCTCAGGTCGGGCATGTCCTCCTACTACAGGCGGATTTGGGAGGAAAAATAAAACATACTCGACAAACATTCGAAAAGAATCAAAAATAGTAGAAAAATCACCCCCAGACTATGTTTTGACTATTTTTGAATCGACCTCCTGTAGAGGAACGTGCCCGACTTAACTCTCGCCCTTCCCTTCTTCATCCCAATCGGATCCTCACGGGGAAAGCATCCCAAGCGGGGCGAGCCGCTGGCATCTGAGCCGCTGGGCGATGGGGGCCCAGTCTGTGACGGCCTCTCTGCGTTTCAGACTGCTCCAGCCAGCAGCCCTGGGCTGCAGTCTGGGAGGAGTCGTGTGTACAGTGTGGTTCTGGTGGTCGATGTTGAAAATCCTTACTTCCCTCCTCCCCGACCCCCTTCCCTCTCGCTCGCCCTTCCATCCTTCATTCCTCCCCCTCTCTCGAAAATCGGACGCTTTGCGGATGCGCACGCGGTGCCTAGATGTAGCCGAGTCCGAGCAGGGTGGAGTCAGATGGCATTTCCTCCGAGGATGTCGAATGTCCCGCCCCCACGACGCAACAATCCTTCAGGCAAACCGCTGGGATCAGAACACTTTTTCCTCAGTGTCAGTCTGGTGAGCCTTCCTGGGCACCACTGCCCAAGATGCCCCTCAACAAAATGCAGTGACGGATGCGCGCCTGGGGTGCTCGCGCGCCTGCATGGCTTCCCAGACATCCAATGTCTCGATGTTTTCCATACGGGTCCCCCTGGGGCCCCGTAATAAAAAAAAACTAAACATCGGACCCTGTGCATCACTCCCTTTCTCCAGGACAAGTGTTTCATTCCGAGTCGTTTGTTGACGGTCCCTGGGCCGGGGCCCGAAGAGCCAAGAACGGCCAATAGCCTCCCGTTGTGATCGCTTCACGACGCGAGCACGTCCGGGCTCAACAGCGCACATCGTCGCGGCGGGTCGGGCCTTCTTTGTCTTGGCCTGCTCGGCCTCTGCCGACGACGCGGCCGGGCTGGCGGCCTCCGTGGCCTTGTCGGAGTCCGCAGCCTCGGAGAAGGCACGCCGGGCGGCCGGCGGCAGGAAGCAAAGCGGAAGATCCAAGGGAGAGCGGCCCAGATTGAGCCCAGAATCAGGCCGGACCACACCGGATCGACCGGGATTGTGCTAGACCAGGCCGGTGTTCGACCACGGGCACAGCAGCGCCGATGCTGCATTTCCCCTCCGAGGACTTGGGTCCTAGAGAGGGGGAGGGGGGGGTACGGCCAGACCTAGGACAGAAGAACATCCTCCAAGAACATGAGACCCTCCGCCTGCCCAAGCCCACGGAACCCTCAAGGGTACCCTCCCCGGGATGCACAGGAGCACCCAGCAAACACGGGGAGCCCTCCCCGAGCCGACCTCGATCTCATAGTTCGGTCCGACCGTACCCCTTCCAGGCTGGGGTTGCCCTGCACCCCCGTGCCTCGATGGCGGCGCATATCGACTGAACATCGTATATCCTCGGGGGCGCGCAAACATGGATTAACGATCCATGGATTAGGCGCACGGTCGCCAAATCCATGGATCGGGGGAGGCGCCCTCCCCCAAATGCGGCCGGTGCCGCCTCCCTCGGCGGCGGAAATCCGCGATGTCCCATGGAAACGGGACCCGTCGCTAATCCACGCCCCCTTGATCCATGTTTGCGATCGCCTGATATCCTGAAGATCATCGCTGTTGTGTCCATGAGTTCTCCCTGTGTTCGCCCACCCCCCGCCCTGGGTGGCCGCCGTGCCACCCAAGGCTCCCCCGGGTGCTTCATGGCGGCCTGGGCCCTGCAGAGCTCCCCCGCGGCAACACGGCTCCTCGGGCAATGCTCCCCGGAAATGGGCACCAACACCAACACAGGAGGCTGCCTCCACAGGGGGAAGATTCGGTGGAGGCACTCCGTCGATAGTGGTGTTGGTGTCAACCTCTAAGCCTGCGACAAGAACCCATTCCGCAATTCGCGATAAAGCCCGTTACCGGCCCCGCCACCCCCGACCCTTCCCCCCCACCACCACGGGTCACGTCACGGTTCGCGTCAGCGCCGTCCGGGAATTGGCCATTCTGAAGCATTCCCAGACGGCGCTGGCGCGAATCGTCACGTTGAAGGCCCCCTCTGCCTTTCCCCCCCCTGGTCACACCCATTAACGCAAGGGAGTACAGTTGCCTGCCAGAGTCATGTTTGCAGCTGCTGGAAGTCCGGATGCTCAGAAACCAGCGTTCCAGAAGCCGTCCCCCGAACATAAACTACGTCGGAAGATCACATCAGAGAAAGTGAAGGCAGTATTGCCCCCTGAGGGCAAGAGAACAGAGGAGGCTGACACGCTCATGGACGAGAGTCGGGGAGACACAGCGGAATGGCCTGGTCCCGCAGAGGCGGTCGCAAGCACCGCACGACAGAACACCCCCGGCCCGGCACGCAGCCGCCAGCACGACCACGCGCGGACGGCGGCGAGGAGCCCGCGCGCGGCAGACGTGTCTTGGCGGCCCCAGCGTTCGCCCCTGGCGCCGCGGGGACCGTTCTGCCTGGCACGATCGGCCGCTTCCGAAGAGCCAAGCCTGACTACCTGCCAGACCACCCCAGCCCAACCCGAAGGCCTGACTTTCGGGCTGGGGGGGGGGGGGCATGGGCTCCACATGTGCTTTTTCGATGTTCCTGGACCCCCCCCCCCACCTAGCCATCGCTCGGACGTCCATTCCCTGTGGTTTTTTCGGCTTCGTGCGTGGTTTTTTTCGCCACATGATCAAGGATGCTCCTCGATGGTCCTCGTCGGAGGAAGAATGCACACGTCCGAGCGATGCCAAGCCACTGGAAATGGAGGGCTAATCGAGGCCCTCGGGCTGCGTCGGAGTGGCTTTTGCTGGGCGGCGAGAGCCGCTCCACTCCTCGACCGACCCTGGGCCGCCCGCGGCGCTCCACGCTGGCGGCAGCGCTGCGCGCCGGCGGCGGGGCCGCCCCTTAAGCGACACGGCGCCCGCCCGCCGCGCCCAGCCTCCGAGCTCTCGGGCGCCGCGCGGCCTGCCCTCCGGCGTCCGAGGAGCATCGTTTGACCGACCCCCATCCCCAGCGGCGTGGCCTGGGCTCAGCAGGGAGATTTTCCACGAAACATGAAACATACCCCAAAAATGATCAAAGCAGATTCCCAAAATAGTCTGGGGACGATTTGTAAAGTACGTTGTTTTACCTTTTGGGAGTATTTTCAGGGTATTTTGAATTTTTCGTCGAAAATCCCCCTGTAGGGGGACACGCCCGACATAAGCCTGGGCCCCGCTGGCCGATTGATCCCCCCTAGATGGGGATACAGGTCGCTCCCTTCGGGCTTCGAGGGGTGTATCCCCAGCTGGGGTGGTACTTCGGTGGGGGTCTCGAAGAGGATGGGGATGGGGATGGGGATCGGTCAAACGATACCGATCCCAAGCTGCCATGCGCTGAGCGACCGAGGCGCGCCCCCGCGCCGCGAGGGGGCCCGGCGCAGCCGCTGCTGCCGGGAGGCTCACCTTCCGCGTGCCCGCCCCCGCCCTGCAGCCCGCGGCCAGCGCCTGCCAGAGGGCCTGCCCGCACAGGGCGTGGCCCCTGCGGCGCCAGAAGGCTCACTTCGAGCGTCCCCGCGCCCGTGCGGGGAGACTCGGGCCGCCAGGGCAAACCGCCGGCGCGGCCCCGAGCGGGCCTCCTTCCAAGAGGGCCCCCGAGCGAGCCCCGAGACGGCCCAGAGAGGCCTCCGAGGATCTCCGGGGCGCTCGGTCCGAAACTACGGGCTTCGTGCCAACGGCTGCGGTGAGTGGACAAACGAAAAAACATGCACGAGCGAAGACTGGAGGAATTAAAGGCACCACCCCCTCGAGGACGCCCCCTGGAGGCAAGAGAAAGGATCTCCGGGAGGGCCCACTGTTGGGGACGCTTCGGGGCTGCTTGGGCTGATTGCCCTTGCGGTCTGACTGGCGTCTCACTCCCTGCGTCGCCGCTATTCCTTCGCGTTTGTCTTCGCGGAAGTTGGCCTCAGGGTCGCACCTGCATTAGCTGGTGTGGATGCCCAAAGAGTCAAGATTTACGCTCTAGAAAACTGGGAAAATCAAAGATACAGACACCGTTGCTCCCCCAACCCCTGCTGGGGTGCGTTCTGACAAGAATTTGAAGGCGAGCCGTGGAAGGCGAAGTCGAGGCAGTGATGGCAGTACCTTCTTCCTTCCTCCGGCAGACTTGGAAACACGGACTCTCGAGCTCATGTTGGAAGAGCTCACGGGTAAACATTGGAGCGCCAGCGTCAGGGGCGCCGGCTTCCTCACATCCGCTGGGGGGGGAGGCCAAATTCCAGAGCTTGCGCCATACGCTCGCCCACACTGCCCTCGACAAATCCTCGATCAGAGAAAGCAGGTGAGCTGTTGGCCTCGTTATCCGAGGCCTCGTTGACATCTGTGTCGTCCTCGCCGGCCTGTGGGAGGGCAATCAGCCAACGAGAGGCCTACCATGGCGAGGCAGCAACACAGTAGAGAGGCAAGATTTGAAAATCGAGAGCGCAGATACCACTGTCAGGATGCCCCCGTACCACGGATTCGTAGTTGCGAATTTCGAGAAATTGGCGATGCACGCACTGGAGCCACGCGCGCACGTCGCGCGCGCTCAGGTTGTATCCGCGCCCGAGGGGAACTCGCACCGTAGGTTGCCAATGCGGAAATCAGGGGCGACTTTGAAACACCTTCGGAGATAGTAATGGGACCTGTAGCAACTGAATTTTGGGATCCTTTGGAGTCCCAAAACGGTGCGGTGACGGACCGTGCGGTGACCTCGAAATCCCCCAAGACCTCACCGCACGGTCCGTCACCGCACGGCCTGGGGACCCCGGAGGCCCCTGTCGCCCGAGACTTCCTCGGAGAACGACTCGAGTCCCAAAACCGTGCGGTGACCCCGAATCCCCACCGACTCACCGCACGGTGTGGTCACCACCCCGCTTGGGGGCCCCCGGGATCCCGGCAACGTGTATGGAAGTTCTGGGGCTCCTTCAACGCTTCTTGCGATTCTCTGGATGCGCCCGAGGACCGGAGGAGCTGAACGGAAAAACAAAGGGTGCCCGAGTCTGGCTGCACAGTACGCGCCACCAGGGCCAGACCACGGAGCATCGGCGGCCGCCCACCCCTCCCTCCTGGCCATGCATCTGGGGCCAAAGCACGGCGCAACGAAGGCCAGACAACCCCTCTGGGTCGCAATGGCAGGGCCTCAAATTCGATGGCGTTGGCTTCTCGGGGGCATTATTGAAGAGCTTCTGGGCCACCTCCCGCCGTCTTTGGGCCGTCTTGGAGCCTCTTGGGCGCATGCTGGAGATACAATATTGGGTGTCTTTGGGTGTCGTTTGGAAGCCGTCTTGGGGACCTCCTGGGCCATCTTGGAAGTCTCTTGGGGCCGCTTTGAGACCAGCTCGGGGGCCTCTTGGGCTGTCTTGCGGCACTATTGGTGCTGCCCTGGGGGCATCTTTGGCCCATCTGGAGCCGTCCTGGGGCCCTCTTGGACATCCTGAGACGTATTGCGCCCCTCTGGGGGCACTCTTAAGTCGTCTTGAGCTCCTGTGGCGGGCCCTCTTGGCGATGCAGCGCCGATAGATCGGCGATGAGGCCTCCCATAACGCGTCCCGCACGGCCCGGGGCGCAGTGGGCTACGTGAGCGTTTTTTACACTCGGCGTTTCGACATTGGGCGGAAGGGGGGGGGGAGGGAGGGGGTCTGGCTCTACACCATGCGAAATGCTTAAGAAATCATGGGTTAAGAAATTCACAGTCTCAGAACTTTAACAAAAATCCAACATTTCTATCAAAATCTTAAGATTTACATTGAAACATTAAGAATAATCGAGCCTCTGGCCGAAAACTTAAGTTTTCTTAAGCATCGCCCAAGGTGTAGACCTCTGCTTAGTGCGGCCGTTTGGGACCGTGCGTCCTCTGGGGGAGAGAGACTCCACCCGCTCGAAACAGGTGTCAAAAAACAGTCACGATCTATTTTCGGGGGGGGGGGGGGGGCCCGAGGGCCCGCGCCGCTCGGCAAAACAATGAATAAAGAGACGATCACCAGGGGAAGACTGACTCAGGAGGCGAACGCCGACCGGGAATCGGCGATGCAGCGCCGACGGATCGGCGACAGGCCTTCCGTGACGCGTCCGCACGGCCCCGGGCGGTGCGGGCCATCGGGCCCCATGCGAACCCTACCCCTACCCCCCACGATTTCTGAGGGGGAGGGTGGGGTTCATTTCATTCGGGAGCTCCCGACCGAAGTGAACCCCACCCCACCCCTCAGAAATCGTTGGGGGGTAGGGGTAGGGTTCGCATGTGGCCCCCTAGCGGGCCCTCGGGCCCCGGAGGGGCGAGGAAGGGGGGCGAGGGGGGGCCGAGGCAGCCCCCCGCGAGCCCCATCGCCCCCTGACGCTGCCCCTGACCAGGACTGGGTTTCGGTCGAGCACGTCCCCCATCACGGGCAGAGTTTGGAGAAGCATCGCAGGTACTCAAAAAAAATACCTCCAAAAATCGTCAGAAGTAGTAGACCAAACGTCCCCAAACTGCTTTTTTTGTTGGAACTATTTTGGAACACTCCTCCTGAAGAGGGACACGCCCGACTCGAGCCTGGGCGACCACAGGTGACCACGTGCGAGCCCTGCCCCCGCCCCCCACGATGTCTAAAGGTGGGGGGGGCCACATCGCTCGGGAGCTCCCGAGCGAAGTGACCCCCCCGCCCCCGTCTGGGAGGTCTCTACCGAAAGCCCTGGACCACCCATGGAAGATCTTGGACCACGTGGGGGAGAGGCGCACGCACGAGACCAAACAGCGCGCGTGGACTGGACGCCCGGGCCACATGGCAAGACACCGCCAGGCGACCTCGGTGCGCGGGCGGGGGGCCGGGGGTCGGGCTCGCGCGCGGCCACCGCAGGGCGTCCACGGTGGTCTTCGGGCCGTGCCCCGGGCCTCCGGCGGACCCGCTCGGGACGATCGGGGCACCCCCGGGGCGCGCTCTCGACGAGGCACCGCTGCTGGAGACGACCCCGGGCCTCGAGAGCTCAGACGAGTAAAAAAAAAAAAAAAAACGAGACCGTCGGACCCCCCCCCCCCCGCCCGTCCCTCCTGACTGTGCACCTGACTCTTCGATCGTGCCGAATCACCCCCTGCACCCTCGGCCAGCGCAGTAGCGGCGCACAGCTCCCCGCGGCCTTCTTGCCCTCGGACTTCTTCTCCTCCTCCTCTGGGCGAGGCAGGCGAGGGGGGGAGAAGCTCCGACGCGCTCGCGTCGTAACAGAAACTCAGAAGCAACAAAAAAAAGAGGGAAAATGCTTGGCCGCTTTCGGATGCGAGTCCTTCCTCGTCGTTGTCGATCCTCTTTTACTCCTCTGCCTTCCCCTGATCTTCCTGCCCCATCGGTTCCTGCTCCTACCTCTGCTCCTGCTGCTAGCGGTCATCCTCCTCCTCGCTCTGCCCCTCTTCCCCCTGCTCCTCAATTGCTCCTCCTCCTCCTCCTCCTCCTCCTCCTCTCCTCCTCCTCCTCCTCCTCCTCCTCCTGATCCTCCTCCTCCTCCTCCTCCTCCTCCTCCTCCTCCTCCTCCTCCTCCTCCTCCTCCTCCTCCTCCTCCTCTTCCTCCTCCTCCTCCTCCATTTCACTCTGCTCCCGTTCCTGATTGCGCATCACACGATGGTCGTTTCGGGGATCCAGATGCGCTAGGACACCCGTCGGCGGACGGAGAAAGATCAGCGCAGACGGGAGGGAAGGGGCGGGAGGAGTCCAGCTGCGGCACGAGCGCACCTGGCTTGCCCCCTCCACCGAGGGGGCAGAATCGGCGGTGGACAACCGAAGCCGACGGACCTGGCCCCGGAAAAGTAATGACGGCCGCGACGCCCTCCCACGGACCGACAACGGCCAACTCGCTGATCGACGCGCCAGGGCCTGGGCGTGGCTTGATGGGTGGGTCATACGTGGGGGGGTCAGAAACAATCCCCTTTCGGGCCCCTCCGGAGCCCCATGGTGGCTCGGTTAGGTACCGTTTGGGTACCTTTTCGGACCACCCTCGCCACCCCCCCATTATGACCCCCCCATTACGCCACGCCCAACGGGCAGGAGGTCGATCAACCTCTGGCAGAACGCCCAGGGGGGCAACCAGCTCCCTGGAGGGGGGGGGGGCCCCGCCGTCGATGTCTGGCATCGGCGGCCTCTCGCCGCCAGAGGTCGGCGAGGAGGCCCCCGGCGGCGGCTCTGCACGCACCTGGGCGGGAGGGGCTCTCGGGCGACCCATCGGCGATGCATCGGCGATCGTCGGGGGTGCGCAAGCACGGATTGGCAAACCATGGACTTGGCGCGCGGTCGCCAGATCCGCGGATCGGGGGAGGCGCCCTCCCCAAAATGCGGCCGGCGCCGCCTCGCTCGGCGGCGACAGTCCGCGATTTCCTATGGAAGCGGGGCCCGTCGCTAATCCACGCCCCCTTGATCCATGGTGCGATCGCCTGAGCTTGGGGGGTCGATAGCCCCCCCTGAGCCGAGCCGATCCCCCCCATGGCGATGCCTCTGAAGAGCACTCCGTGCGTCGTAAAGCAAAGAGAACGGGGGCCAAGGCCTTCCCAGACGAGCAGCCTCAGACCACCCCATGGACCAGCCATGAAAGGGTGGTCTGTGGCCCAGACCCCCGCGGAACCTTGGCGGCGCGCACAAGGGGGTGGAGGGATGGGGGAGGGCTTCTCAGAAGGAGGCTGCTTCTTAGAGGGCGCCAGCCTTGCATCTATAGATGAGGCCCGCGCCTCCTGAGAAGCAGGGGTGCTTCTGAGAAGCCCTCCTCCTTCCCCTCTGCGCGTGGCTGAGCACCCTCCGAGACAGCTCAAATCAGAGACTCCGCCACCCCCACATCAGCTCACCCCCCTGTGATTGGGAAGTCCGGAGCGGCCCGGTCCGCCGCGCCCCGCCCCGTCCTCGTCGCTGCTGTCCTTGGACTTGTCGGGCTCCGAGCTCGAGTCCCGCTTCTGGGGCCTCGGCGGCGTGACGCGGGGGGGGGGAGACCCCGGGGTCTGCTCCCGGCAGCTGCGCGTCGGGGAGGAGAAGGAGGGAAGCAGCCGACACCGAACGGGCCCAGGGACGCACAAAGCAAGCAGGCACGGAGTCCCCATATGTTCCCACACCTTCTGGACGTCAGTCGTCCACTCCACTTGCCGCTTGCCAGATGTTCCCATATTTTCTTAGGGGTCGCCGATGATTTTTGTTTGTCCGTGCCTGTTTTCTCCCCCGAGAGATATACAGGCTCCCAGATGGCGAGGCGGGCCCTTGGGCCCGCGCGCTTGACGGGGGTGAGACTAGCCTGTCCTCCTTCAGGGGGATTTGGGACGAAAAATAAAAATACCCCAAAAATCCACCGACCCCCTTGTGGGACCACCGGCTGTAGGATCAGGGTTTGCTGTACCCTGCACTAGTTCCAGTTTCCAGTTTCCACTGTTACAGTTCTGCTTCTTGTTGCTCACT